TAATTTTAGTAAAGATGATAGAAATAAAAATTATTTATAAGGAAAATATTTTATATAATTTAAAACATATTTCATTTTAGTAACATAAACCTTGAAAGCAATTTTTTTTTTGAGACAGATTCTCCTCTGTCACCCCAGGTAGAGTGCAGTGACATCAACCTAGCTCACTGCAACCTCAGAATTCTGGGCTCAAGCAATGCTCTTGCCTCAGCCTCCCGAGTAGCTGGGACTACAGGCACATGCCATGATGCCCAGCTAACTTTTTAATTTTCAGTAGAGAGGGCATCTTGCTCTTGCTCAGGTTGGTCTCAAACTCCTGAGCTCAAGCAAACCTCCAGCTTTGGTCTCCCAGAGTGCACTAGGATGGATTACAGGTATAAGCTACTGCACCCAGACCCTTGAAAACAATTTTAAAGTATTTATGCTTTAACAGCAATATATTGAAATGATGGGTTCAATACTTTTTCATTCAGTACATGTCTTTTTTGAGCACTTGGCTGTGTGGCACTGTTATGCTCTGTGGATAACAAGTTGAAATATCTTTCTCCTCAGTGAAATAGGCTTATTAAAGAGGAAATTGGCAAGTAAACCTTTATAATGTTATAAGTGATTTAGTTGAGAAATATGCAAGTTTTCATGGGAATAAAGAGGAGTTTATTTCTGTCCTTACAAAGGGAGGAATATGGTTGGTGAATGGTTCATAAGGAAGGTGATACTTGAATTGAGATTCCAAGGATGAGCAGGAGTTTTTCAACAAGCGGGGAAGGGCATTCTAGGTAGATAGATGATCAAGGTAGGCAGTGATGTAACAAAGAACCTGCAGATAGATTGGTGTATTTACAATACAGGGTTAAAATATGGAAGTGACAAGGGATATCGCCAGAGAATAGTCGGATCATAAGGATTGTTTTCCATGTTAGAGGCTTCAGCCTTTACCTTTTAGTTAAGGAGACCTATAGAGTGATTTTAAGCCTGGGAGTAACGTTACTGGATTTGCACTATTTAAAGGCCTCTTTAAAGCAACAGAACCTGTTGAAAGGCAATGATACTTGAGACTAGCACTCTGTTAAAATTGTCTACAGAGTGAGTAATGACAAATGCAACCAAGTTTGTGGTGGGAGAAGTGCAGAAAAAGAGCAAGGAATAAGAGATACTTTAGAGAGAGAATTGAGAAGGCTTGGTGAAAAATTGAATTATCTGTTAACTGGTACATTATATTTTATATCATCAGACTCTTATGTGGCACCTAGAATTGGTTTAACTATGTTTTCATCATGTTTGACAGTTCAGGCCCTTATACGTGACTGTCAAGTTATCAGAGAGACTAAAGAAAACCAGATTGCAGAGCTAAAAAAAATATGTGAACAAAGTACAGAATCTCTGAATAATGACTGGGAAAAAAAGGTAAGCCACCTAAAATAGTATAAAAAATACAAAAGTTTATTCTTCGAAGTAACATATTTAATTATA